CCCCCGCCGAAGGAGGAGGAGGAGGAGGAGGAGGAGGAGGAGGAGGAGGAGGAGGAGGAGGAGGAGGAGGGAGGAGGAGAAGGAGGAGGAGGAGGAGGGAGAGGAAGAGGAGGAGGAGGAAGAGGAGGAGGAGGAGGAGGAGGGAGAGGAGGAGAAGAGGGATTAGGAGGAAAACGAAGAGGTTCGAACCCCCCATGGGAAACTGGTAGAAAAAACAAGTGGGGGAGTTAGAATCTCCTTCTCTTTTCCGGGGGGGAGGTTGGAACACCCCTCCCCCCTTGGAGGGGGGGTAGGTGTTGGGGGACGGGGGGGGGTTAGGGAGGAAGGGGGCCCCCCTGGTTCTGATCGACGGCGCCGACTGTTGGGGAGGGCCCCCACCCCGAATCGAAACGCGCCGAAGAACGATCCCAAGGTTAGCGCCCGTGGAACGCGCTGTCTCGGGGAAAAATAACCCATTTGTTTGGATATGGGGAACCAGACTCCCATCCTTTGGATATGGGGGATAACAAGAACCCCATCCTCCGGATATGGGGAGCAATTCTGAGTGAGGAAGTGGAAGAGGCGGAATGTGTGAGTGAGTGGGAGTTGGCGCAGTCCGAGTAATAACAAGAACCCACCTTGGGATCTTGGGAACAATAAGATCCCCATCCTTTGGATATGGGGCATGCCACGACGTCCACGCACGCACATGGTAGAGTCGTTTCGACCACATGTGTTGTGCAAGCATGCCAACGTACAAACATCAAACACCCTTAGATTGTCCATCGCTGATTTCGCAGATCTTCCCAGATCGCACAATCTATCAGGCGATGCACTCGGTTGACCACTGTGGCTGTTTCTTGGAACATATAGGGGGCACCCAGTTGCAGACAGGGTGTGCGGTGAGGCATGTTGTTCCCGTGTCACGGCGTTGGTGCAGAGTGTGTTCGTGATGTTGTGGTAGGTCCCCCTCTTCCGATTATCGTCGTTTGTTTCCCCAGCGGTATCAGCATTGCTGCCCGCTGCCTTGCCTCCCCCTCCTCCAGGCAAGCATCTCTGTTGCATATAGCGTTTGTTAGGGGGATTTGCAGATCGGTTGGTAGATATGTGTCTTGTCTGTTTTCCTTGCAACAATTGGCCAACATACGTACACCAATCCGCTGCGAACGCTTTCATGCTTGCATTGGCAGATCAGTTGGGGGTGGTGTTTTTTCGGCCTGCGCAATCAGAGCCCGCCCGTGCTGTCAGTATTGCTTCGCGTGGGGCGCCACTCCCCATTGCACTGGCCGTCATAGCCGTAGGACCCCATACGTAGTGCATTGCGTTTCGTTTTCGTTCTAATTCGCCATACCGTGGACAGCCCACCCGCGCTGGCATTTTGAAAGCCGCCTGTCCGCATAAGATTAACGTGTGAATTGATGCAATGCTCCAGCGAAACACCTTGCCAGATATTTCTCACTTTCCCATGTTCTACCCACGCGTATGTGGCGAAAGCATGGGACACCATATGATGTTCGAAACTTCGTCCACAACCCGCATTCACCATGCGGTTCATCCGCGTTGATCTAACATGTGCCCAGTGCACGAATCCGAATGACATCGCGCGCGCACCTCCACGCGGGCGTGCCGACATCCTCCCCAAACCATTAATAGTCGACGCATGCCAATATGTATAGGGCTCTTCAAAATTGTATGGAAAGGGTATCTGTTCTAACAGACCGTTTCTCCGGTTCCTTGGTTTTCCGCGCGACACGCCTTCACCATCACCCTTACCAGCGCCACCACATCACCGCAGTTTTCGTTCACGCCAATCGGCCCCGTTGCCGCCATGACCAACGGACCCCCTCCATCGCCGACACATTGACATCATCATCATCATCATCGTCGACGCCAGCATCAGAACATTGGCCTTGCCGTCACTATCACCGTCATCTCATCACCGTCGCTACTATTGTCGTCATCGACGCATGTATCGAAGTCATCGTGATGCCACGCCCGCCCGAGCCACCAACCCAGAATGAAGTGCCCGCGCGCCGGCGCGGCTTATGAGATGCGGCAGGAATTTCCCGTCAGTGAGCGCGATCGCGGCCGCGTCGGCTGTCTGAACCAGTTGGCCGTTTTGTGCAGGAGGTTGCCCACGCTGGCGCGGTCGCATAGAAGCACAAGCCAGTGCCAGGTAGTCGACCCAATCGCGTCGGCATTGGTTGCGCAGAGCAAGTTGCGGGTGGGAGGGAGAGAGAGGATTGCATGGTTTGACAGGGTTGCAAACATTTGCCTTGGTTCAGAGCTGGCTACTGATTCCTCCCGAGAGGGGGGGGTCCGTTTCGGTTGCGTTTCGCAGTGTCGGCGAATAGCCGAGCGCATTCGAATTGATACGTATGGCCGCGGAGGTAGCGCCGTTCCGCGCCCTTGGCCTCAGAGTGTGACACTATTCTGGGGACGGTGCCAGGGCGCAAAGACGACCGCGCGTCGCGCGCGGTCTGGCGCGATTCACGAAGCTCCAGTGACTTGGAAGTGTACTCGCCTGGCTCACCTGGGAGAGGGGGACGTACATGTTGGTTTATGATGTTCCAGCCCACTTTAGCTTTGGCCGCCAGAAAGAATTCCGCAGAAAGTGCCGAAACTTGATGGTTTTCCGTGTCGGGCCCTGGGAGGTGATTCTCGTTCGACATTGTTTCGATACGTTTTTGGTGGTTCGGAACTAGTTATGGGATGTGGTCCTTAGGTGCGATGGGAGCAGCATAGATCTTGGCTCCCACATTGCAGGATTTTTTCGGGCAGTTGCTCGGATTCGGATGCCAGCCCCTTGCCCCCTTTGGGGAAGCGGCCGGCGCTCGATGTGGAATCGCACCTTGCTCGTGAACGGGGCTCCCTCCTGAAGCATCTTCCCTTCGGGAGGGGAAGCGGGAAGGAAAGGAGTAGGGCGAGCTGGGAGATGGAAGGATCGCATCACGGCGCCTTTCTCCCGAGGTGGAACTTAGCTGCTGGATGGAAAGAGGGGCTGGGAGGGTGGAGTGGAGCCACATTTCAGGAGGGAGGGAGGGGGGCGGAAACGGAGGGGAAGGGGGGGGGGGGGCGGATGTAACATTTCAAGGAGATCAGAGGTGGCACAAACCAACAAGGCAAGCCAGGCCGGCACACGAGCGTCTGAAGGCAGGGGCGGAATTCTCGCTCTCCCAACCAGCTTGTGCTAGCTCGTGTGCTGCCCATGTCCAAATCAACAGCCCGCGCCAGGACCTTCGCAAGGTTCGCAGACAGGGAGTAATGGAGCAAGCACGCAGGACTTCCATTCACCGGGCGGGCATGGACATCCAATTCAGCCTCATCACGCGACCTTTTAGATGTGAAGCAACCGCAGTTCCCACAGACAGTAACATGCATCAGCAGTGGTCAGTGATGCAATCTTTCGGAGGTGGGTCTGGGATGGGAAGTGCGGGGGCGAGGGAGAGGGGAGGATTGAGAGGGAGGGGGGGAGGGAACGGGGCGGGAGAGGGAGGCGTAGGGAGGAAATGGAGGGAGACAGAGAGAGAGAGAGAGGGAGAAAAAAACAAGAGAGAGAGGGGAGTGGGTAAGCCGCGCCCGCGAAGCGCAGGAGGACAGGCGCTTGGGTGGGGCACCCCTGTCCCTCTCCCGTCCCCCCTCGTTCCTTTCCCCTCTCCTTCCCGTTATCCTTCCGGGGGAGCGTAAGACCCGGGTTTGCCGGGACTCGGGTTCGCCATCGTTTTTTGACGACCGCGCCTCGGATTTTCGACGAGGAGGAGCTTCGTGGGATGTCTGCAGCGGGAGGCCTCGTCAAAATGCAGGCTCGGCCTCGTCACTTGTTTGACGACCTCGTCGGGGATTTCCGAGTCCCCTGTACCCAGGTCTTACGTCCCCCTGATCCTTGAGCGCGTGCGTCTTTTGAGTTCAGCTTGGCAATTTAAGGCAATCATGCCTGTTCGGGTCATCGTGTTCGTTCTGGTGTGTGAGTGTGTGGGGTTGGGCAAGCTAGGTGCGCTCCGCCATGTGTGACACCCTAGCCCTCCCTCCCGTCCCTTCCTATTGCGCGTGTTGTCTCTATCCACGGACGCGTCTCATAGCAGACCTGGAAATCGACAAAACAAGACATCGTGCTATGCGCTAACGGAAGAGGGGTACTGCGTACATAGGAGGAGGGAAGAGGCTGCGTGTGAGCATGACGCTGAGCAGCAGGGAACGGAGGAGGATTATGACAGACGATGGGGACGAACAGCAGCAGCAGCAGCAGAAGGAATCGGAGTGGAAACAGTGGGGGAGCAGGACGGCCAGGGGAAGGCGGAGGAGGGGAAATATGTGGGCGACAACGAGAAACAACGACCCGTTGCCATAAACGTTGCCCGCGTTGGGGCGAGAGCGCCATTCTGGACGATGGGAGATGGGAGCACACCGGCGATCCGAACATGAGGCCCACACTTCAGCGCCACTCTGGACGATGGGAGATGGGAACACATCGCCGATTCGAGCATGATACCCACACTGCTGCGGGAATGCCACTGTGAAACACCGAGAGCAATCCGCTGCACAGGCAGTATAAGAGTTATCAAATGCTGGTGCTCTGTGTGTGATAACGCAGTACGCGGGGAGGGCTGAGCATCTTCCGCACAGGGGTCAGTATTCAAAGTTAGTGTGTATTTTGTCAATGGGGGGCGTGGGAGGGAGAAGGAGGAGCGAGGAGGTTCCAACATGAACACGGGGGCATGGTGGAGGATGTGGGAAAAGGGGAGACGCTCCGCTTTCATTCATATCCTTCTCGTCCTTCCCCCATCCCGTTCGGCGCTCGCCTTGAGCCCTGCCAGTGACAATGAGGTAGCTTGAAATGTTGCCCACGGAGGCGGGGTACCGTTTCTCAGCCTTTCGCAGGGGAGTCATGGCGCAGCGGGAAAGTTGCCGCGATCAGGCGTGTTTGTGTCGACCGATTGCCGCGGCATGAAGCCCAAACGGGCGGGGAGCAGACAGTGGAACACAGGGCTTTAGTCTTGGCGATTTCGCGGGCCGTGTTCGTTTTGACTTCGTGTTGCAGCAAAGGCAGAACGAGGACAGAACGACGGATCGACTGCGGAGCATCCAGTCAGCGACTCAGGATCCGAAGGAGACCCAGCAGCTGTCGGCCAGCCAGCAAGCTGGCGGCTTAAATGCAGGCACCGTTTTCTGGTTGTCTCTCATTTTGCTCCTCCTCCTCCTCCTCTTGTTCCTGTTCCTGTTCCTCCTCCCTCTCCTCCTCTTCCGTATGCATCTTGCCTCAGGTTGCCGTTGGCACATTTTGAATATTTCTTACACTAGCTTAGATCTTACGTTTGTAGTTCTGCTGTTTTTGATATGGCGAGTATTATTATAATCGCCAGCCTTGTTGGGATCAGCTTTGTACCAGGTATTGCCTTTGCAGGTGACTTCGAGTTGATGCAGATGTGGACGACCCCCAAGTCTTCATCGGCGTCCTCGGCACCCGTGTCACGCATGGCCGCTGAGACGAAATCGTGGTTGTGCACGCTGAAGGGCGGTGCGACTCCTGAGGACGTGAGCATGTTCTGCAATGAGTTCCACAACCCGTTCTGCATCGGCAATGAAGAGTGCCCGCCAGGACAGAAATGTCCGAAGCCGTTTGCGCAGGGCTTCTTGACAGAAGCAGATAAGGACGCGGCCATGGCCAAGTACCCCGCCGTCGCGGTCACATGCGAAGAGGACCCGTGTGGGAAGAAGACAACAACCCTTCCGAGGTGCGAAACAACGATAATTTGTTGTTGAAACTCGCCTGGGCTCGCCCAGGTTGCGTTCTGACGAAGATTCCAAGGCCAATCCAGCCGTGGCGACGTGGGCGTCCCAAAACAGTAGGCCCAAGAAGGTGTAATTTCGGGATGGGTATCGGTATCAGCATGTTGGTTCTTCGTTGACCCATGGTTCCAGTCGGATGTGCAGACCAATTTTTGTTTGCGATCGCCGATTGGTCTTCACGAGTCCCCCCCTTACACACCGCCGCCCTCACACTCCCGATATTGCGGAGGCTTTTACGGTTGGTGCCGGCGACCTTGTTCGCCAGCACGAGGACGAGTAGGACGAGGAGGAGCAGGAGGTGGAGGAGAATGGGAGCTGCAAGGGGAGAGCGTGGACGGCAACGACGATGACGAAGACGACGCCGCCGACTCAGACGGACAAGCGCCAAGGGGGGAGAAATCCAACGGGAAAGTTTTTACAAAAGGGGGGTGGGGTGTTCCCCCCGCGGGGGTGGGGGGGGCACAACCCCTGGGCCCCGCCCCAGGGATCTCCCCAGGGCCACCCCCCAAGGCAGTCCCACGGGCAGGCGCCTCTTTCAGCTCGATGACGACGCGTCTTGGTTTCTCAGAGAGGTGTGTTCCGTCCCGGCAGGGAGGTCACGACCCCCAGACGACCCCCAGGACCCCACACCCCGCGATTGGAATCCCGCCCGAGAAAATTCCCCACCCTCCCCAGCGACTCGATCACGGTTTTTCTCGATGTGTTGTTTGCTGGATTTGGGGATGCTGTGGGTGGAAATGCAACGGAGTGGCTTCTGCGTTTCTTGCGGCCTGAACTTGCTTGCGGTTTGTGGGAATCAATCGGAGTAAGCGTTGAGGTGTTCGTGCCCCTCAGCGGGGCGTGGAACGGAAAAGCGTGTCGGACACGCCGACAGATAGACAGAGAGACAGAAAGAGAAAGAGAGAGAGAGAGAGAGAGACAGAGAGAGAGAGAGACGCCGAAAGACGGAAGGAGAGAGAGAGAGAGTGAACGTGTGAGAGATAGAGAGGCAGAGAGAGATCTTGACAGAGTAGTGAGTGATGGAGGCGATTCCGAGGTCGACGCGAACGGTATTTCATTGATTGTTTTTCCCCGAGCCCTCGTGAGTGATGGTTTGGCTATTCGAACCCCTGAGCCAAAAGGACCCATACGTCAAAAAAGCCTGGGAGCACATCGTTCCAGAAGGAGCCACTCGGCGGACCTACCCGTGGGGCATCCAAGACATTAATGCGGACGTGGTCCGAGGGCGGGGCGCGGGAGTGAACGTGTATGTGCTGGACACCGGCATTCGTACAACCCACGTTGAGTTCGGCGGCCGGGCATTCGCTGGGGTCGACATAGCCTCCACAGGGAATTTCACTATCTGCTCGCCCACCGACACTGCGTGCGCTGCAGACGCCCATGGGCACGGCACCCACGTCGCGGGTACGGTTGGGGCCTCGACATACGGCGTGGCGAATGGCGCGACATTGTGGGCAATGAAGGTCCTCGACGACGCCGGCCTTGGCTACACTTTTTGGTCCATTGTTGCCGAACAGTATGTTTTGACGTCTGGCTTAAGGCCAGCAGTGGTCAGCATGAGTCTGGGGGGCCCTGGCCAAAGCTCACCTGAGCAGGACTCGATCAACGATTTAGTGGCCGATGGCGTGACTGTGGTGGTTGCTGCAGGGAACCAAAACGATGATGCGTGTGGGTACAATCCGGCTTGGATCCCGTCGGCGATCACGGTGGCATCTTATGATTCGGCAGGGGCCAAGTCGTCTTTCAGCAATTACGGCTCTTGCATCGATGTTTGGGCTCCAGGCTCGTCCATCCTCTCGACTTATATCGGCAGCGACACTGCGTTGGGTCTTTCCTCGGGTACGTCCATGGCTTGTCCGCACGTCTCTGGTCTCGCGGCCATCATGTACGAGGCGAACCCAACCGCGGGATCCATGACCGCATCACAGAGGTGGGCTCTCCTGACAGCTTCGCAGCGCACTGGCTATGTCACTGGAATTCCCACGACTCCTGCCAGTGTCAACCTTGTGGCCTTGGCACCCACGCCCACGCCGTCACCGACGCCCAGTCCCACACCATTGCCGACGCCAATGCCGACACCCATCCCTGCGCCGCCCGCGCCGCCCCCCCCCCCGCCCAGCCCGACTCCAGGACCGACGCCTGGCGGTGCTGCTGCCACTGGCGATCCACACCTTCAAAATGTTCATGGTGAGCAGTTTGACTTGATGTTGCCGGGGAAGCATGTTTTGCTAAATATCCCCCGTGGAATGAGCGCTGGAAACGCACTGCTTCGCGTGCAGGCCGATGCTCGCCGGTTGGGTGGACATTGCGCGGACATGTACTTCCAAGAGTTGAACATCACTGGGTCGTGGGCAGAAGCAAAAAGGACTGGAGGGTACCAGTACTCGGTGTCACAACGCGTTGCCGAGGCCCAGGATTGGCTTGCTTTTGGTTCATCGTTCCGGAAAGTCAATGTGAAAGTCGTTCAAGGAAGTACTCGAAAAGGCCTCAAGTATTTAAATGTCTACGTCAAGAATTTGGGGCGAGTGGGGCTTTCTGTCGGCGGACTACTCGGAGAAGACGACCACAAAGACGTGAGCATTTCTTCTGCAGCATGTTCCCGTAAGATGACCCTTCTGGAGGTTGCAACAGGACCGCGCGACCACGGCCCTTCTGAGTCTTCAGTTGCAGCGGCAAGTTTTGGTTGACCACGTGTCTGATCAATATTCACGAGGTAGGACCAATTGTTTATCATCAGGTCCTGAGTCGAGCTGGATGCCGGCGCTCAAGGGGGTCAGATTTTACAGGGTAGCGTTTGAGATGAGACCATGTATATCTTGGTTGCCAGGCCATGGGTGAGGAGAAGTGGAAGAGAATGACGGTTGCTGCAAGGGGTTGAAGATTTAATTCGAGGAGAAGGATGAAAGGCGGTGGTGATGGCGGCATTCAGGGAGAATCATGATGCAAACAAGAAAGAGGAGGGGTACCAGGGAGGAGGAGGAGGAGGGAGACGGGAAAAAATCAGAGCATTTTGTGCACAGGCAGGCGTCCTCATTCCTCCGTCTCCCTCTCTCCACCCCCTTCCTGCCTTCTATCGTTACCCCATCGAACCCCTGGAAAGCCACTGGAGCCAACTTGAGCACGCCCCTGGAAGCGCAGCAAAACAGCAGTCCTGGTCCTCCCTCCCCATCCTGAGCTAGTCGAGCCGGTGACAAACCCAGTTACAACTAGCCAGCCAGCGGGTTTGTCTGATCAAGTGCAGGCATCGTCTTTCGCTTATTCTTCCTCTCGATCTTCCGTAGACCGTTTGCATAAGTTACATACCGACATTGTTCCGTACATGTGTCCTTACATTCCGCAGATGGGGAATATTGTTCTGATCGCCAGTTTGGTCGGTGCTAGCGGTGCTCCTGGCCTGACGTGCTCCTCCTCTCTATTTCCTTCTCCTTCCTCTCGCGTCTTTTCTTTGCATCCTCCGTCCTCCCTCCTCCGTGTGGGCCGCCCTTCCCCCTGCATCGCGCCTCGCTGGAGACACCCCACCACCTGGGCGCGAACGGGCGAGTGCCGTACCCCCTGGCGGCCTCCTTGGGATGCGGAAGCCAGCACATCGCTCGAGGCGTGCTCACGATCTGCTCTGGCAAGAGAAGGGCCCGAGGCGCCGCAGCAGGCAGACCGGTCGAGGCGTCCCCACAATGTGGCCTCGAATGGGCGAGTGTCCTGCCCCCTTGCGGCTACCCTCACGGGTGCTGAAGCCAGCGCCGCGCTCACGACATCCGCACAGCCGGCTCTGGAAGCAGCGCCTTGTTCGAGGCATCCTCGCAAGCTGCTTTGGCAGCATGGGAGTCTGGGCCACCAGACACCAGACCGCCCGAGACATCGCCGCAAGCTGAGCGCGAGCGGGGCCGTGCACCTACCCCTGGCGGCTCACCCGTGGGGTGTTTTCAACCAGCGCCTCACTCGAGACATCCTCACAGCCTGTTTTTCGGAGGTGGATTGACCTCCTAATCTGACACGTCGATTCAGGAATTGGCCGTTTTCGGCTCGCGAGAGGGCGTCGCGGCCGTCGTTTTTGCGGGTCCAGGTCCGTCGGTTTCGGTCCAGGTCGTTTTCACTAAGGGGAGTTTTACTAAAGGGAGGTTTGTCCACCGCCGAGTTTTGAAAGCAGAGGAGTCTGGGCCACCAAATACGATAACCGCCTGAGACATCCCCACAATCTGGGCGCGATCGGGGCCGTTCAGCCACCCCTGACGGTTCCACCTTCGGGGTGCCGAAAGCAGCGCCTCGCTCGAGACATCCTCGCAGCCTGCTCTGAAAGCCAAGGAGTCGAGGCGACCATTTCGGCAAGCCGCACGAGACATGCGCACAATCTGGGCGCGGAGGGGGCCGTGCAACCACCCCTGGCGGCTCACTCCCGGGGTGCTGAAGCCAGCGCCTCGATTGAGACGTCCTCACGAGTTGAGTGCGAGGCGAGGTTGAAGCTGAGTCGGATTGCTGAGTGCGAGTGACTCTCAACATTGTGAGTGTGAGTGCTAGGCCTGAATCTGAGTGTGAGCGACTCTCAGAATTACGGGTTTGAGTGTTAGGACCGAGTCTGAGTTTGAGTGTGTCTGAGTCTGAGTGTGTCCGAGTATGAGTGCATCCGAGTAGGAGTGAGCCTGAGTGTTGCGTCTGAGCACGAGCGGCTCAGAGTGCGAATCTGACCCTGAGACGCCCGAGTATTATGAGGAGGATGGCGGGAAGAGGCGGACGCGTGACATTGATAACAATCAGCCCATGCTTAGGATCCCTGGGCCTACGCATTCGCTTTCGGAGGTCCGCGCGATGTTCTCCGGCTGGCGCTGGACCCCCCTCTCCGCACCCGCTCCCCGGCGCGCGGCGCGCGCGGTCTGCGGCGCCGGAGGCGCCGCCACAGATGTGGGGAGGGGATCGGGCGCCATTCCAAGAATCCCGCGTGGAGCTCTTTTACGTGAGGCGTTCCAGGAGAGGGTCTCTCTTTCGGGGGTGGGGAGGCGGCGGAAGTAAAGCGGGGCCAGCTCCGCCGGCGAAGGGCCGGCGTAAGTTGACAGCATGAACGGGTTCCTCCCCAAGAGACGACAGCATGTGCTGGTTCAGGGATTCCGGAGCTTTAAAACGTCGGTGTTGTTTTCAATGTCGGCGCAAGAGCACGGGATCGGGCGAGGATGCTGTGTGCACAGACGTTGACCTTGCCAGGCCCATACTGGGCCCAGTATTGGTGCACTAGCCCGTCTCAGGGGGTGGGCCGCGACACAGAGCACCTCCAACGTTCTCCCACCGCACGCTCCCTTCCCCCCCCCGAGCGACGGGCCGTCTTGCCTGACTCGAGGAAAGCACGCCATCAATACACGTGTTCGACGTTGGGCCCCCCCAGGCCGCGCCGATTTCTTGGATCGACGTTGGGCCCCCCCAGGCCGCGCTTCCGACGCTGCCCCTGGCGTGCTCCGCACGCCTGGGGAGGATGCAGCGCCGATCCGAGAAGATCCCGAGGAACCCCGAAAGCGCATGCTGATGCCATCATTTCTTCCTTTGTCTCCTGCGTCCGAACCGCCGCCGCGGTCCCTCCCGCACGCGGGGAGGGGGGGGGAGGTGTGCCGCCTCCCAGACACCTCTCCAACGCCCTCCACCCTCATGCTCCAACCCGCTCCACCCCAACTGCGGGTCGTTCGTCGCGGAGGAGGAGGATGGAGGGGAGGAGGAGGAGGAGGAGGAGGAGGAGGAGGAGGAGGAGGAGGAGGAGGAGGAGGAGGAGAGGAGAGGAAGAAGTGGAGGAGGAGGAGGAGGAGGAGGAGGAAAAAGTGGAGGAGGAGGAGGCGGAGGAGGAGGCGGAGGAGGAGGAGGAAGATGAGCACGCAGCACGGAGGGCGCGGGGCGGAGGCCGACGGAGGAGCACGGAGCACGGAGCACGGAGGACGGAGGACGGAGGACGAAGGACGAAGGAGGACGGGGGAGGGGGAGGAGGAAGACGACGGCGGCGCCGACGACGAGGAGCTTCGCCTGCGGCGGCTCCTCTGCCTCCTTGCGCCCCGGCAGAGGCGAGATGACGGCGGCGCGGCGGGCCCCGCCGGCACCCGCGGCGGGCGCCGCCCTCCTCGGCCCCCCGCGGGCTGAGAGCGGCGCCCGCCGCGGCGCGGGGCGCGCCCTCCCGAGGGGTGCCCGCGGAGGGGGGGAGAGCCTCTGGTCCCAGGAGAGGAAAGGGCAGCCAGACCCCTGCCCTCTCCCCGAGGAGGAGGAGGAGGGGGTCTTCCCCTCTGTTGGGCCTCCCGGAAGGCCCTCGCTTCCACCGCTGGCTGCGCCTCGAGATCTCGGTCAGAGCGCGCCCCGGGAGAGGTCCGGGGAGCAGCGGCATCGGTACCTCGTGGTTTCCCCATGGTCGGCCCGCTCGCTCCAAAGAGCAGGCGCCGACGCAGCACGAGACGCCACGTGACAGGAAGATCGCATCTTCGATTCGTTTTTGCCCCAGCGATGATGCAGTTCGGCCTCGCCGCCGCTCTCCCCCGACCAACTCTGTCCTGGCTCGGGATGGGCAACTCTCAGGGCTAAAGGGGGGGGTGCTCTTGATCGTGATCCCCGTCGCCGTCGTCGTCGTCCCGGTCGTGATCCCCGTCGCCGTCGTCGTCGTCGTCGTCGTCGTCCCCCGTCAGGGTCGGTGGCACCGGCCGTAAGGCATTCGCGGTCCGTTCAGGGCGGCAGGGGTATAGGGTATGTGTCAGCATGCCAGATCTGCCCCTTTCCGGGTGGTGCCTCACGGTGTACAGGGCCAGCGCGACGGCGCGGGTCGCCGTTGGCAGCTCCATTTGAGCCTCACAGCCTCCGCGCGTTGTTACCTCCCCATCTTTCTTCTCGATGCTCTGTGTCATCTTCCCAATCACTCCTTTGCCTCGTCATGATACTACTCTTCTATCCTGCTCATCGTTTCTCCTCCCACTGCCTCACCTCTCCCATTTCCTCGCATCCCTCCTCTCTCTCTCTCTCTTTTTCTCTCTCGCTCTCCCAATTTCTATGTTTTCTTCCTGCTCGTCCATGCTTTCCCAGGCTCACTTGCTCTTAAGCCTTGTGGAGATGAGGATGAGATGTGGATAAGAATGAGGAGGAGGCGGTCTGAAGGATGTCATGAGGAGTAGGAGGTGGAACAGCAGCAGGAGCAGGACAACGAGTAGGTCTGAAGGACGGGGATTCCGAGGAAGAGGAGGCCGACGAGGAGGAATGGGATGATGAGGGTGACGAGTTAATGCGGTCCGACGAAGAAGGGGGTGTGGAGCTTATCCCGCGAGCTGCGAAACGCTTCAGGGCGCACTCAGAGTAATTTTGTGGGGGCCCTGCCAACACCCGAGGACATGATCAAAACTATTCAGTATTGGCCCCGAGGTAAATGACATGTTTCTTCTAGGGCCCGTTTCTTGTATGGCAATTGTGTGAAGAGAGTCCTCCAACGCCGTTGCAGATGCTCTGTCCTTATTTGTTTCCCCTTTGCTGCAGGTCATCGTCGCCGGCCTGTTGCTGATCCTCCTGCCCTCGCCTACCCTTCTGCTCGCCCCCCGCCGTTAGCATTGTCAGTCCTCCACCATTCCTCTGCTCCCTTCCTCTTGCTGCTAGGACTCTTGTGCCTCAGGGAGAGAGTGTCGCGAAGCACCGCCGGCTCGCCACGCGCAGCGGGGCGGCCGCGCTATGCGAGATACCCCGTGTGCGCTGAGTCTGCGTCGCCAGTCGGCGGTCTCTAGTCGTCACCACCTGCCAAACCACCCCAACCCAACCCGAAGGCCTCAATATTGCCCCTCATGCCCAGTGGGGAGGGGGAGTCGGGGAACATGGAGAAAATACATATGGATCCCGTACCCCCCCCCCAAACCCGAAACTCGGGTCTGCGGGTTAGGTTGGGGTGGTCTGGTAGGTAGTCAAGCCGTGGAGCGTCGGCTCTTCACTCGCTCCGATCCTTGCCATGCCTCAAGCAG